AATGGTCCAAAATTTATGAGTTTTTCGAATAAGGGCTTAGAAATTTTGTCTCTTGAGAGAACATATGCAAGTGCCTGCAGAACACTATTTCACTATATATTATGCTTATGAGTAAGTCTCGATGAAATAAAGACACATTTTAATGAAGTGTGTACTGAGAGCAAAGCATCTCCGACAAATCCAACACAAAGAATTTTGACTTGAAATTCGACCTTTAAACATGGTTGATAGCTCTTAGATCATTCTAAAGGTTTCAACGAAAACGTAAGCATATCATTCTTGAGATATTCAATTTCAAATTAGATTCGATTATAGTGTCGTCCTATGACAAATCGATGCTTTATTAGAAATTAAATATCTCGAGAAAGACATGTTTGTTTTGGTTGAAACTTCCAGAACAATGTAATGACTGTAAAACTTGTCTATAGATCAAAGTTCAAGTCGATACTCTTTGTTTTGGATTTTTCGGCAATGTCTTTCCTCTTAGTAAAGTCAGTTTCTGTTAGAAAAAAATGAAATATTCTTTGAAATGGTCAACTAAATTGTTTGAACGAAAAATTTTGGTTTTTGCTTTCGACAAGACATTTCAATTTTCATTTCTTCTAAATACTCATTTTTGAAAAATCAACACATGTCTTCGGTTCAAAAGAGCTCTTTAAAAAATGCTTATAACCTCAGTTAGGTAAAAACTACAGTTAAGTCTAATATCATATTTTTTAGAGAAGTGTTCACTCTAGAAAACGATCGATTCCAACAATTTTTAGCATGTTCGAAAAATAGACTTATAGAATAAATAAAAACATATTTCACTACTCAAGAACAAAACATAAGATGAAATTTTCGAGGATATTTTCTATCGAATCAAAAACAATCAAACATCTTATCTAAAAACATTCTGATCACACTATTATACATACGAAATAACAGCCATTGATGCTAATCGTCTTGGATTTGTTAATAAATTACTTGGATTTGGTGATGAATTTGTTGCAACATTAGTTGTTGTTCCACCTGTAACTGTTGTTGTTAATATACTTGTACGACGTGATAATGTATTATTCATCATTGATATTTGTGCAAGTGATATATTCGGTTGAGTCAATAATGTATTTGTATTTAATGTTTGATAATTATTTCCTTGTACTAAATGACTTTCATTTAATGTTGGTAATGTCATATTTGTTGCTTGATGACGATCCTTTTATTAAAAAAAAAAATAAAAAGTAAAATTAATTAAAACGAAATCAATAAATTTTTTTGTTGTTATTGAAAATTTACTTCATCAGTGCATTTTCGTAATAACCATAAACTATGTACTCGATCGATTTCATCAAAACGTAATATAAGTTGTTCATCACTAGCTAAACCTGCTGTTGTATAAACATGTTTATCAAAACTATAAAACCATTCACCATGATGTCCTGATATAACTGGTTTAACTTCATCAAGTGGATGTGATAGAGAAAATAAATTTGGAAGATAATGATCATTTCTAGACAAGAGAAAAAAAAACGATTCAACAAAAAGAAAAAAAAAATTTTATTGGATAAAATATTTTACGATTGTCGTTCAATCATTAAACCATTTTGAAATGACCAAACTTTTGATACCTTTAAAAAAGAAATTTATTTTTAATAAAAATTTAATGTTTTGTATATATATATATATACAGAAAATGGCAGAGCAACTTTCGTATATCCACTATCCATGCCAAGAACAGTTAAACAATTCTGTTCAATTACAATTGGAAATTCTGTTCCACCATATTCACCTAATATTAAAAAAAATAAAAACAATAGATTTTTATTTTGTTTTCTTTTTAATTTACAAGACATTGAACATTGATCAAATTTGGTCCATAAAAGCTGAAAACAAAAATCAACTTGAATTTTTTTTTGTTTCTTCGAAATTTTTTTTGGTTTTACTCTTTTTGGTATAGTATCAGTAGTAAATTCCATATAAGATGGACATTGAGTATTCTGAAGTGGATATGTCCAAATAATATGTGAACCTCGAGCATAAATTTCTTCATCACCTTGTCGATTACTTGTTGCACTTATTGACCATAATTCCTTTTAAGAAAAAAACAAAACAAAACAAAACAAAAAGAAATTTTGTTTTTTCGTGTATTATTAAAATTATTATATTAACTTGTTCAGTATTTATAGTTGTATCTTCATCAATATAATTTGCTCCATTAGGTTTGAAAGGAGCAACTTTACTAACACTAATTGTAGCTAAATAAAAGTTCAAAAACAATTATTATTTTTAATTTGAAATTAATATGAAGATAAAAAATCTAACCTGCTGGTTGCATAACTTGATTAGTTCGGAATAATTTTAGATTATGACAAAAAACGCGAAACAATAGCAAGTCTTGAATTATTGGTCAGTTAATTTTCAATATAGACTACATATATAGCACTAATATAAAAAAAAGAGAGAAAATTTTTCTCTCTATCGAACTATAATCGTATCGTCTAGAATGAATGAATAGACAATTTAAGTTGGAATAGACCAATCACATTGCTTAATTCAACTTTAAAGTTAATTCATTTATTTTTTTCTGTATGTTTGAGACCATAGAGAGGTTAGAAAATTGTTTTTCATTGGTTATATCAATGAATAAATGAAGAATGAAAAAAGCAATAGAAATATTTGCTTAACGTTTTTTCGTCTTTTTTTCTTCTAAGATGATGCATATAATCAAAAGTTAAAAAAAAAAATAATGAATAGTCTACCACTATTACCATCTCCATTTGATCGAAATAAAATTTTTCAACTAATTTGACGTCAAGCATTTCAATGGCTTAATCAATGCCATGTTTTATCACCAGAAGTTAATCGAATTTTAAATTTACCAATAAATACAATTGAGAATCTAGCAGATACCTTCTTCTAATTGTTTGCTATCAAAATAAAGTATTTTTTAGTAAGAAAAAAACAACATCAAATAATCATTTATATAGGTATTGTTTTATGTAATTTACTCAATTATTTAGTACTCGGAATAATAAAATATACATATATTTCATTTCGACCACAAAAAAGTCATGTAAGAAATAATATTTTTTAATTGAAATAAATAATATGAATGGATTTTAGTTTTTCTGTTTACAAAATATTCATTTATGTTTGAATACATGTAGGCCAGAATTAAACTTTCCTGATCGAGATTTATTTAATCCATATATGTTATTTGATAAATATAATTTAGATAAAGTAAGAAACATAAATTTAAATAAATAATTTTGCTTTTTGTTTTCCAAAGATTGTTGAAACACTTTCGAAAATCTTTCGATCCGATTAGCAAAAAGAAAAAAAAAATTAACACCATTTTCATTTAATAACCCAGTGATTTATACAAGTATACAAAAAAATGATGGTAATGGAATATTACTAACAATGCAAGGAGGAAACAGCTGATTCCTTGATTTCGTAATTCTATTGATTCCAAATTATTCTGAATGATTTTACTGATTTCAGCTGATTCTGCCACACGGAATCAACTGTTTCTTCTATGGACTATACTATGGAGGTATTCATAGAACCTCAAAGGATGTTATACAGGTGTACCCATAAGTGCTTAAGGTCTATTATATAGAGGTATCCATAGGTTCTCAAGGGCTATTATATAGATGTACCCATAGGGCTTCAAGAGCTATACTATGGGCGTACCCAAAGATTCTCAAGGGCTATCCTATACCGATACCCATAGGTCCTCAAGATCTATTATATAGAAGTACCTCTAGATTTTCAAAAACTATACTATGGGAGTATCCAAAGATCTTCAAGGCCTATACTATGGAGTATTTATAGGTTCTTAAGCGCTATTATATAGAGGTACCAACGAGTTCTCAACGTCTAACATATAGGAATACCACCTATAGGTCCTCAAGGTCTATTATATAGGGGTATCCGTAGGTCCTCAAAGTCTATACTATGGGGTACTCATAGATCGTCAAGATCTATACTATAGAGATATCCATAAGACCTCAAGGACTGTCCCTATAAAATAGCTCTTAAGGACCTATGGATACATCTGTCTAATATAACATGGGGACTTATGAGTACCCCTACTGGATAGCCGTAGAGGACTTATAGATACCCCAATAGAATAGCCCTTGATGAACTGTGGATACCTCTATATAATAAATCTTGGGGACCTCTGGGTATCTCTATATATTAGATCATGAGGATCCATTGGTACCTCTATATAATAGCCCTTGAGGACTTTTAGGTATTCTCATAGTATAGGCCTTGAGAAGCTACGGGCACGCCTAAACTATCGATGATTTAGTAAATCATTGATTTGTTAAATATATACCCAGTCCAATTGGTACTCACTTAAATGGGACTAGTACATATCCAGTTACAACTGATCCTTTTTCATATGCCCCGAACATTCACATGTTTCGGTTAACAATAACGGAAAGAAACAATCAAAATAAAAAATGAATCACACTGATTCGACAATGATTTTGAGTGATTCTAATGATTTCAAATGATTCTACCAGCTGGAATCAGCTGTTTTCCCCCTTGCCAACAATGTCTTCACTTGATGAAACAATACCAGTCCAAGACTAAGTTGCTTTTTGGTTTTTTTCCTTGAATGAGCGTATTTATTTAAATTATTTAGTAATATGAATGACGATAATTCTCGAGTACTTTTATATTATGCATCCACTGAAACAGTTGTTTCTGCAAGTGAATAATTTGATCTTTATGGACGTTTCATTGAAAAGAAAAGGGTTGGTGTCTTAAAAAAAAAACAAAATGCTTTTTTTTGTTGTATCCATACGTGCACTTTTTTGCTTTATATGATAAATCTATTTGCTTGCTGCTCTTACTGCTTTTTTTGCATACGATTTTATTTGTTTGTTAGACCAGCTAAATTATAACATTAATTATCTTTATGTCATTATGCGCATATTCATCATATATTGTCATTTCATACAATCAATTTATCTCAAACAACAACAAAACAAGAATTATCATTTATGAAAACAACAAGTAGTCCAACAAATTTAACTGAATTACTTTCACTAGCATCACTTATTGCTGCTAGTGCAGCATCAACACTTTCATCATCGGCAGCAATGACAGATAATAATTCAAATGATTTGATATCATCATTATCCAATTATCATTCATCAACATCAATCTCTTTCATTTTCAATATAAAGAGAAAGTTCACCATAGCATCGACCATGATCGGCATCTGTCAAAAAAATTTTTTTTTCTCTTTGTTTACTAGATCAATAGAGCATGTTATGAAACTAAGAAAACCAAAATATCTTGTTTTGAAAGTGTTCCTTTCACGAGATTTAGACCCAATAATTTTGATCACTAAGGATCAGTATACATAAATATTCATTTTTTATCCAACTTTAGTATTTAGCAGGCTTCGTAGTTGTCCTTCGTGAATAAATAGAAATATATAGGAGGAGGATCTTAAAAATAACACTTATATAAGATATTTCTAATAATATAGGAAAACATATAAAACAGCCTGTTTTTTTCAAAAGAACACTTTAAAAGATTTGAAAAGCACTAGGGTAATGTGTAAAAGCATACATAATCTATGTCTCAAATTAAGAAATAATTTCTATGAATGCAAATTTGACTTATTGCAAAAAAGAATAGAACTTTTTTTTTTCTGGAAAGTCAAAAATTAAGTGATGGTTTTTATTAGATTTGTTGACAAGTGATTACTAACATATATGTACATATTTATTAAACATGTTAAAATAGGAAAGGTAACAAGGAAGAAAAAAATACTTGTGTATTGTTTTTTTTTAGCTTGAATTATCTGTTTTTTTTTCTCATTCACATGTGACCCATATAAGAATTTTCTAATCAACATATACATAAATATGAACAATAATCATAAAATGAGATGTATTTTTTTATCAACAGAGATCATTAACATAACTGTGCTTTTTTTTGTTGTTCTTCAATAAAAAATTTCTTACTTCCTTATAGAAAACTAGATGAGCTTCTAACAAAATTAAGAATACAAATTTTGATATGGAATACTCCTAATTTATAGGTGCTAAATTTTTAGTAAATCTCGCTTGATACTCGCGACAATGTCTTAATTATAAGATTGGAAAAAATTTCTCATCAAAACACTGCAGTAGCGCGACTATTTGTTTTATTATCGATTTTGGAAAAGAGCTTTTATTTAATTAAACTTATTATTTTATTTAAATGTTTAGAAAGAATAATATAATAAATGGTATAGTGGTTTGGTCTCAAGTTCAGTGTAAGGATCTGTGTAGTTAATCATTTCTATTGTATTGGTTTATTGTTGTTTTGTGACAATACTTGAGTGTTTGTTAGTGGACATTATGCGTTGTCTAATGACATAATCATTTTAACTAATCATCGAATTGGCCTTATAGAGAGAATAAATAATAATGTATGTGGAAAAAAGGGTGACATAGATTTGATTAATTTTTAAAAAGCATTTATTCGACATAGATAACAATTGATTTACAGTGAAAAGCAACATCTTTAGTTAGTATCTACTACTCTACTGACTAAGTTCAGAAATGTTGTTCAAAATTTTTCTGTGCAATAAAAGTTTTAATTACTGTGGGTGTGGGTGTGGGTGAGTATAGGTGAAGAGAACACTAAGACTCACACGAAACGCGTAACCACAGCCACAACTACATCGACGTACACCCACTCCCAGCAACACCCACGCCCACGCCCACGCCCACACGCACATCACACATACACCTACACTCACACCTCACACCCACACCCCTAGTTTTAATAGATGATCGGTTTGATGGTCTTGTCGAAATGGAGAAATTATTTTTCCCAACATTATTAGAATTCGATTATGGATAATGATGGATATATTTGTATGTTTCTAATTAGAAGAAGAATGAAGTGAAACAATGGAAAATCCGAGAGAAATATGGTACAATCATTGTTGGTGGAAATGGATTAAGAAATTCTTTCAATTAATACGATTATCCTTTTTACATCTTCATACTTGAAGATCATTCCTTTTTTATGTGTCAGATTGTTTAAATCATTGTGTGATGAAATGAAAGAAAGATGAAAAAGAAAGAATTGTTAGTGGTGGTGGTGGTGGTGGTCAATGGACAAAAAAAAATCATCTCAGGGAATTGTTATATCCTGGTAGTTAAGAGAGAGAAAATTATCTTAAAAAATGATTATATCCTGATGAAATTCTCGTTGATCAAAATAAGTATTCCATATGTGGCAGATTGAATAAATAATCAAGTGATGCATTATGACTGAAAAGAGCAAAAGAAAAAGGTAATGTTATTGTTGTTAGAAATGAAAATAAAACACAACCAAATCAATTTTTTGGTGCTAAGGATTTGTCATTTGATTAAGAAAATAATGTTTATATTTTTGATCGTGATAGCGATGAAGTGACGAAATTTTGTTTAGATGAATTAAATTGGATAAATGTATATAATTGAAAGAATCATTCATCATGAAGGTTTACTTTTGATTCGATCCTGATTGTTCTCACCCTCACTGCCGCCTTTGAGATGATGTTTCGCTAAAAATTAGGGACCAATTTCCCTAATCATGGACGAATCGAGAGGATCCCATTATGAAGACAAAATCTGTTTTTTTTTTCTATTATATCTATGATTATCTTGATGGATGTGATATTTTTCGTGCATTTTCAAATCTTAATGATTGCTTTCCAACAATTGATGAATTCATCATCTCTTTTGTTTTAAAATCCGATGGAATGCTTCAAAATCGAAAGTAAAACTTTATGAATAATTATAAATAAATAATGCTTTTAAATAAACATCAAATCTTTTCTATTCAAATAAAATTTTCATTAGAAATTAATCAAGGTTTTTTTTGTTTTTATTGACTATCAATTCTTCATTCATTGGACTTGAATCATTTGAACTTAATTGTATGATACATGATCTAGTTTATATTATTTCTGAATAATTTATCTGCTTTACCTCGGCTTTCATTATAAACTATTCACATGGTTTTTTTACTTTATCAAAACTAAGAAAATTTTATATCTCAAACTACCTTGAAGATGAAGATTCATTAGTTTGACTATCCTATTCCTACTGAAAAACAAATTAACTCTATTGAATATCTTATTATTGTTCATTCATTGTACTTTCGATGAACTTACTACTATCATTTGTTTATTTACTCATGTCATCCTGTGTGCTATTGGTGCGTGTGATGTGCAAGACGCTCAGTCACGCGCACCGGACGAGACGTAAGTACAAAAGGTGCAACATTAGACAGTAATACCTTTGTCTACATCATTTTTGCTTATATTAGACTAGTTGGCATGACGTAACGCGCACTCAGTGTTACATGCATTACATTTCGCGTACCAATGCGCACCAGCATGACGTTCACGCACAAATAGCGTACAGGATAACATGGGTACTTCAACTTCGTCATTTGAATTTTATTCATTTAGATGATGATGATTCGAATAATAATCATATTATTAAATTTAACACATCTTATTATAAATATATAGATTCGATGAAATTTAATACATTTGAAATGTTGATGAAGAATATAAATTGAAAATTGAAATTTTTACATGTTAATATTACATGTCAAGATATGAATTATCTTGATATTGCTCGTGAATAGGAATAAGTAATTTTCGAATATTTGCTAAAATTAGATGTATTTAATTTCAAACATAATGAAATATGTCGATTATGAGAATGAAATATCAAAGCATCATGGAAAATCAAATGAATTTATTTCATCATTTTCAATTGAAAGAAAATCAATCTTTGAAACTGTTATTGATATTGAAGATGTTATTTATTCAATTTGTCCTTACAAGTATATTAGAAATAATCGTTTCTACTCAATTGAAATTTACAAATATTCCTTGTGATCATTGTATTGAATCATTAGTCATAACTCTTAACTATGTTTTAATTGAAACATAGATTTATCATTTAGAAATTTGTCAAAGATTGATTCCTATTGAAATGTTAAATCATATGATAGAATCATCATCTAAATTTATAAGATTGAAAATTGATTCTTTGTTATTATCATAAGAAGAAAATTTATCAACGAAAAACGAGTTTCTAACACATATCAAATATAAAGAAAATCACAAAAGTTTATCTGGAAAATATACTTTATATTGCAAAAGTGAAAGATTTTCATTATGCATGAACTATTTACAAATCAATGTTATTAATAATGTTCATATGGAAGTAATCGTAAAAGAGATCTTAATTACGATTATAAATCATATCAATCATCAACTTTATTGTTTATGCTTTTGATGATCAAATAATTGAAAAATTCAACAAAATGATCAGATGTAAAAAAAAAAAAACTACTTGTTGATAATATAATTCAACGTTTATGTGATAAAATTCATCTAGAATGAAAATGACTATACTAAACATTATTGTTCATTTTATTTTTCATAAAAAAAACTTTTTAACATTTAAATACATTTTCTTGTTCTATCATGGTTCTATTTTGACAAAAATATATTTCATAAAACATCTTAAGTATAGATTGATAAAATATTCATTCAAATGTATCGTCAGGCTGTGCAGTTCATTTCAAATTTATGAAATGATTACTCAATGACCTTTGACTCTTTCTTTTCTGTCTCAAATTCACTTTATTCGTCTGTTTTTTCTTTCTTTGTTCCATTCGCATATAAAAGTCTATTGAAAATGTTGAAATGATCAAAAAAAAAAAGAAAAATATATATATATATATCTCAAGCACAACGATACAATAGATATGGATGCACTTAAGCGAAAGCTAGTTTTCAATGAAACATTAAATGAATCAAGTAAGATATTTCGAAGTAAGTTATTTATCTAATGAAAATAAGATTATTGATATATTTATTTGAATAGATCAATTAATAACTTTTATTGAAGATTTATCAAATGAAATTTTTTATGAAATATTTGATTATTTTGATGGTGGTGAAATAGTTAAAATATTTTCTAAACTTAATTCTCGTTTTGAACAACTTCTTCATTCTTCATCAATTTTAATTAAAACACATTGTTATTTGTTTTATTATGAAGAAATGATGAATAAAGATCATGAATTAGAAATATTCTCAAATAAATTATGTTCAAATTTGAAAATCTTATTTATTAATTGTTCAGAAAATATCGTTTTTCTTGATGCTCATCGATGGGAACAATTTATTTCATATTATTATCCTCAATTAGAAAAATTTTATTTTACATATTATGATCGTATTGATAATGATAATCAATATGAAATATATTCTCAACGAATAAATCAATTTTCTTCAACATTTTGGATTAAACGACAATGGATATTTCATGTTAAAATTGATACTAGTGATATTAAATATACGATTTATCCATACAAGTATATCGATCAATATTTGTTTATAGAAAATTAATTCCTCTGTTTTTTTTCAGAAAAACATGGTATGATTACATAGATGATAATAATATTGAACATACAACATCAACTAGTTTAATATTGACTAATTTTGTTATTCCTTCACATGATGAAATTATATTCAAACAAATAGAACGTATTATAACTATAACACAAATTTATCATTTAAATATTGAAACATGTATCTTCCTTAGTATATTAATTAAATTGGTGAGTCGATTGCCATATCTAATAACATTAAAACTTCATTCATTATCATACGAGGAAGAAATAAAATTAACTCCTAACGATTTTTTTTATATACTTACATACAATTATCGAAATCAAATTACGAAAGTTTATATTGAACAAATCAATGTT